CTCTAATCCCCTCCCCCTCCCTTCACTCGCCGAGTTAACGCCGATCAAACGCATCGTGCAATCATCGCGAAACTTTCCAGATCGTTCCAATTAATTTTGCGATCCGTGTAATTTGATAATCGTGGGCACGGTTTTGTTCGCAGAGCCTCATTATCTCATACTCGAGTACGTGATGTACGGGAAATTGCTGGCCTATCTTCGAGATCATCGCACCAGGCAGGATTTCTACAATTTCAGCGAGGACTCCGCGGCGCTCACATCCAGGGATCTCACTGTGTTTGGGTACTGCGTGGCGAGAGGGATGGAGTATCTTGCGTCGAAAAAGGTGAGATTTTGATAACTTTTGCTCCGCCTTTTTTTTTTTTTTAATACGCGGACCAAATTCGGAGATCGTTGTGTAGAAATTTAGATTGTATTTCGTTCCTGAAAAATTACGATTCTTGTATTTATTTCGATATTTGGAATTGGAAAACTGGGAAACTACGAAAAAGGAATTATATAAGTTTGCTATTTGTAGATAATTTTTTTATGAAAATTTTTTTCATAAAATGATGACGTATGTTAGCTTCTACGTGTGTTGTACACTTCTCTTTCGTTAATTTCGTTGGTTTATTCATTTTTAATGGTATTAATAAACGCGAGCCGTTCATATTTTCAATATCCGTGAAATATTAAAAGTACCTGGCAGCGTTTAAATTATTACCTCCCCCTATTTGTATTTCCATTACGCTTACCCCCTTCTCGGGGCCGAAAATTTATTATGACCTTATATGCTCGCGTGTTCAAAGGGTTTTAACATCGGAACCAAAACGATACAGCGACAGTCTACTTACTGTAACATTATATCGAAGTATATTGCCCCCGATGTTGTTACTTCATGCCACGTTGATCTCGTTTTTTCATTTCTTTTCGATTTTATATCTCATCGTAGAGATAGAGCTCGAAATCCAAGAGTAAAATTTCAACTATTAAAACTATTAAACGTTATTCGATCACGTTATTTATCGTCAGAAGATTTTTTTATTTAGAAAGAAGACATTTATTGTACAAATTCGAATAAGAAAATAAATTTAAGAAGATCCTTAATAATATTACGGACGCACCTCGTAAAAGTAGAAAGGAAAGGGTGTAAATCAAAATCTCTTCTCGATATCGAAATCGACCAACCCACGAAACTTCGCTTTTGAAAATCGCTTTGAGATCGAATGAAAGTTTCGTAAATGGCACCTAAGTGTGAAAAGATAAAAATCCCTCGTCCTTCGAGGTTGCCTATACGTCACAGTTGAAGGTCGAGAGTGAAAAAGCGATGGAATGGCAAACATTCGTATTTGCGCTTCAAATATTATCTTAACGTCGTGAAGATTGGGGCCGACTTTTCATTTCGCCAGATGAATCTGTGTCAATGGGTAAAGGATCCATGATATTACAGATAGATAACAAAAATTACGCGTGTGTTAAAAATTTTATCATAAACGTGATAAAATTGTTCATTTTTCCTCGTGTAAAAAAAAAAAGAAAGAAAAAATCCTTAAAATTCTCTCTATATCTTACACAAAGTTTTTTCATATAAGTATCTATAAAAATTTGTGAAAATGTCAAAGAATTTTACAGACATCTTAATTTTCTAATAAAGATGATCTCGAGATTAGGTATGCAAATTAGGTTAAAAATATATCTACGAACACGAGTTTGAAGCATGCTGAATAGAGAATGAAGCAATTTCCATAATCGTCGAATTTTTTATTGCCGATTTTCGATATTTCGAAGCGAAAAATTCGAGGATGATAATGTGACGATTCAAGTGACACGAGCACGTTTAAATATTATGGTTGTAACCCTTTCAGATTCGCTTCAGAAACGTAAAATAAATATTTTTATGTATCCGACGACACTTGGAATGGAATCCTTTTCCTTTAAATAATATTTCGAAGTCGAAGCTGTAAAATTTTTTTCGTCTATCGTATACTTGTATACTTACTAAACACGTGTTCGAATATATAATTTTTCATTATATTATTAAAAAAACAAGGACCAAAAGCGTAAAAAAAAATGGACATAAGGATTTAAATTATACACTTTAAAAGATATCGAAAGTTAAGAGAAGTGTTTCGTGAAGTTTAAACACGTTTTACTTTAGAAAGAATCTTGGTGTTCTCCATATCGGAATGCGGCGTTTCGTTTTCCTTCCGATGAATAATTATTGGTCGCTTGTTAACTTCAGGAGATTAGCTTTCGCGTGGCGTTCCTCGAAAAACGATTACACTGACACCGCCGGTAATTCGATATTCGTGAAAAATAAACCATAATCGATGCACTTGTCCTTGGAAGAGAATAAAATTCTTCCGATTCGAAGATTCGATAATATTTTTTCAATTGCTTCCTGCAATGGAAATAAGCGGTTTTTTCCTTTCTTTTTTATATATAAATAAATAAATTAGCGAGTATTTGGAAAATTAAAAAAGAAAGATTGTAAAATATCTTATACGATACGAAGGTGCAGCGATGGAAAATAAGAATATAGTGGAGATTAAAAGAGGGGATTTTTGCATAGTATGAAAATTCTTGAGAAACTGGTTTATTTAACGTTTGATATGTATATATGCTAATTTATATAAGCTAGCTAAGTACCTGATCCGTATCTACTTCATTTCCATAATTCGCTCGACTGGTTCGTGCTTCTGTCGTGTCATCTATCCCTTATAACCCTCTCCAAGATTTTCTTTGCCGAAGAAAATTAGAATAACAAATCATAGCATATAGTTAGAACATTCGTGAATCACGAAATGCAAATTATTTTTTTTATGGATATATGATTCAGTAATTGAATCTCTTTAATAAAAAATAAATCATTCTAATAACCGCCATTTTGAACGTATACATATTTATTTAATAATTGTTCGATCAAATTTACTTTCGAAACATTTTTTGGAACACGAAAAATAATTCGTTACTAGATTTTTTGCATACGTTTCATACAAAACATTCGTTTTCGAGAATAGAATTCAAAATCGTATTGTTCTGAAGAAGAAGAGAAAAAGAAAAATGAAACAATGCCAAAAAAAGATATTAATTATTGAATATCATCTAATTACAATTAGAATCGGCGAGACGAAAGAGGCAGAGAAAATATTTAAACATCATCATCGACCGGTTACGATCCACAAATCGATACGGTGTGGAATGCCCGAGGCATCGAAGGAAGTTTCGATTGAAATCAGTATCCGGTGTTGGTAGTTGGAAGAACGACTTAACACCAACCATATAGTCGGGATTTCGATTTCAATCAAAGATTATATATACGAGTTCGTAGAAATTCCTGTGAAGGCCGATATACATAGCAAATCCTTAATTGAATGTGGAAGCTATAACTGATGCACGAACGAGATGAAATGATTTAAAGCCACGAAACAGTGGAAGCTTTATTGATTTAACATGCTTATGCATTAAATTATACGAGTGTCGTTTAAATTGTTTAAATTAAAACACGAGAGTGTTATCCTCGATAAAATATTTATCTTTAAATATTAAATATTAATATGGAATATGGGTATTTCCACGCGAAATATAATTTGCAGTTGTGCAATTTTTTGGATTTACGAAATATTTGAGGAAATCGTAATTTTTATATAAAACCGTCCTTCGACTATATTCGTGCAAGCTGTATATTGGACGAAGGAGGAAAAGAAAAATATGAGAACAGTTGGCTGTTTGAAACAAAGCGTTGTAACTGGAAAAACAATGTTTCTTTCTACAAGCATAATAAAGATAACAGTGCATGGGCAATAAAGATGTCCAAGCAGTTTCAGATTATTTATCAGTGCGACACGTATATAAAAATATTGCGACTTAAAACAGAATTTCAACGTCTATTTTTATTTCTTTCACTTTTCGAATTTTTGCAATAATAAATATAATGTATTTAACTCTTCGATACATACACGTCAACTTCTGACGAACATTCTTCAGGAATACTCACACATACCTCTACCATAAAATTTTTCAAAAATTAAATTCCTAAAAAATTGCAAAACGAAAATAGACTCATCATCGCCATCATTCAGTTCATCATCAATCGTTCGAAGAAACGAATCCATTAGGAGAGATCCATTAGAGAACGAAAATGGATTTATTATCATCTCAGCTACAATTTTCGACTCCTTATATCATCCAAGATATTATCAATAATGAATAATATTTCCACGGTTCAAAGAACACGTTCGAGTAGCAAACACCCGCGCAAGTAGCGACACCTTTGCTCGTCACGTTTATAAATATCAACGACATGGTAGCACCAGGATACACGATAAATACTTTTATGTTACACGAGGCTGGTCGCGAAAATACATTTTTCATCCGACGTGAAACGTTGCTCGTAGCAAAAACGCACAGATACGACGACAAATGGAGTCGCGTCCGAGTTTTTCGCGCTCGCGCTATAAATCTAGAAGATGAAGTCATTAAAGGAACGTAAGAGCAGAGACGCGTGTACATCCAGTCCTCCTTGACATTGAGCAGCCGCAGGTTCATTAGCATTGGCCACGGTTGAACGGGTCCATTCGTTGGATCTCTCTGTTGGCGAATTGATTATTTCTCCTATTATCAAATAAAAATAATCTTTTCGAGAATTACGAATTGTTGGTGGTAGCGCGAATCGTTTCGTGGAAGAATTTTTTTAATTATGATTAGAGTAACGAGAAACGCTTTCAATTTCGTACGAAATGAAATTGGCGTTTCTTATTCGTGAATCATCGCTTTATCACGAACTGAGATTAAAAAGATACTGTAAATTGATCTGTAAATAAGATTTTGTCCCCGCGAAAGTAAAGTCGTATAGTCGTTCAACTTCGTTTGCTCAACTTCCGTTCCTTTTCATGTTTCGCAAAGAATTTCGTCCCATTTACGATATCACAACAAATGATCGAATGCTCGAACATCATCTCGATTCTTATCCAAAACGACACAATTAAATTTCACGCGGCGAACGATTTCGAATCGAAGCGTACGACGGCCATGGCCACGCTCGTAAAATAAATCAAATCCAGCTTTCGCGGCGAATAACAGCACGACGAACACGCGATAAATCAGCTGCTGCGATAAATAATATGCAATAACGTGGCCGTTGCTGCTGTATTACGAAGCAACAAGCCCAACAACGCGAAATCCGAGTGTCGTAAAATCCAATCGTTCAGACATTGTCTGCCTGCGATTATCGATAGTGGATGATGATAATTAACGTGTCTCCCTAGATCGATATTAAATCGAAACTATCATTTCGAATAAAAATTAATTTCGAAGATAGAAATTAACATCTAATTAATTAAGAAGATGTAAGAAGATCTAAGAAATTTAATCTTAATAATATTAATCCAAGTGACGCATAGTTTTATTGGGTTTCTGGCATCTCCATCTTACTTGATACCTCGATAAAATTTCTTTTCACATAGATCTTCAAATTAGAATTATTTATAAGCGAGGCTTAAAGGGATCAAGAATTTTTCTTGCCGATCTCGGCCAGTTCGGAGGATTCGATTTCGCGCGTCCTGTTACTCGACACTATGCGCGTGATGCGGTATGGTTGGATGGTTGCGTAACAGAACATCCACCTGCGGTCACTAGCTTGTACGGAGGAGAAGAATGTTGATCGAGCCGGCGTGTTTTTATTCGATTTTGCAGATCATCCACCGCGATCTCGCCGCGAGGAACGTGCTCGTGGACCACAACAAGCTGTGCAAGATCGCTGACTTCGGTATGTCCAGATTCGCGGACGGGGATGGAGAGGTGATCGAGACGAGACATGGCAGAAACGCGTTGCCGATAAGGTGGATGGCGCCCGAGTCGTTGATCTACTCGCTCTTCACCACCAAAACGGACGTGTGGAGCTTTGGTATCTTGATGTGGGAGATTGTCACCCTGGGTATGCATATATATATATATATATATATATATAATGATCGATTATTTCAATCTCTCGAATAATATCGAAATTTATTATTCTTATTTTATTATTATCAAGAGGAATCCTTTCTTTCAACTTTTAGAAGTAGATTTGTGATCGATTATTTTAATCTCTCTCCTAATATCGAAATTTATTTCTATTTTATTATTATTAAGAAGAATTAAGAAGATGTTGTTTAAAAAATTATATATTCAAAATTCTTTCTCTCTTCTTTCTTTCCTCGCAACTTTCAACTTCTAGAACCTTTTAGACACTAGATTTATGATCGTTAAGTTTCTACTCGTGACTTTCAATCTTCTTTAAAAAAAAAGAAAGAAAGAATCTGACATCTTCATATTTCTACAATTCTAATTCTTCTTTCGAATGTCAATATCAGTTCGAAAGAGTATAGAATCTCTTTGGCTACGATATTCTCAATTTCAAATTGATTTCGTTATCGGCCTCGTCGCTGATATAGGAACAAATTCTTCGTTTACAGGTTCGACACCGTACCCGGACATGACGGCACGGGAAGTGATGCGGAACGTGCAGAACGGTTATCGACTGGAGAGGCCTTCGCACTGTCGAAGCGAGCTGTTCAGAGTGATATCCCGGTGTTGGCACGCCGATCCAGACAGGAGGCCGGAATTCCAGACGCTGAGAAGGGATCTGGCCCAGCTTCTCGAGGACAATATGAACGGACATTACGTGGACCTCGAGAGTTTCGCATCCGAATGCACCGATTGAGCATTCACTTCGATTCAACCGAAATCCCTTGGAAATTATTTTCCGTTTCGAGATCATTGAGACCATCGCGCGTGGATCTAATATCGATATCGATATTGGTGGACATTTGCGAGAGCGATGTTCAATTGAAACAACGCGAATACTTTTTTGAAATCGATTCGTTTATAAGATATCGACACTTAATCGATAATTGTACGAGTGGCGTGATATTTGTGTTTATGTATGAGGTAGCCTGTTGGGGAGGATTGTAAACTGGTTTCTTTTAACGCGACTTTTTACACGCTTTGAAAACGGAAAAGCAGTAAATTATGAAAATTTTTATATAGGTATTTGTATTATATAAAGAGGGATATTTAAATATTTGTAAAGAATCGTTGTACAATTGGAATTAGAGAATCCGTCCATGTTGTTCTAATTTTTTTTTTTTTTTTTTCGTATAGGGATTTTATATTTG